GTCTTGTTTATAACATTTCTCAAAAAAAATTCGTAGAAATATTCAAAAAGTAACCAATAAGAATTAATTATAAATGTTTAAAAATAATTTAAAAAATGTATTATTTAATAAAATTAACATCGTTCTTATTCAGTCAATATTGAACTTAGAGCCATAGTTGATACATGAAAATTACTTTAAAAAAATAGGCCTGTCCGAATATGGTGTTAAAATAGGTGTTGCTGTTAAAAAAAAAGTTTTTACTGCCCATACGCAGACCAAATTCTCAAATTTTTTTTAAATGTATAGAAAAATGTGTATTCATATACCACCAGTTTGTAAAAAAAAAAAAATCGATTTATTCCAAACAAATCTGGCCGAGAAATTCAGTGTTCCCTAAATCGGTGAACACACTATATTTTATTTTTTTATTTTTATTGATTAAACCTGCGGCAACATAGGCCATCGGGTGGAAATTATGGAACAATGTTTTTTGTTGATGCTACTAATATTCAATTGATAAAGAATTGTAATTACTAAATATAAAATTTAAATTGTATAATATTATATGCCACAAATTGACATTTGTAGAACATATTATTTAAAATAATATAGGTAATACCACAGAATAGAATAATACATAATATTAAAAATAATATATTATAATATTATAATATAATACATAATTTTTCGGACAATTAAATGATCCAGCCATAGACAATGGCACCGATGAGGCGATGAATACAATATTTTCAATTTATGGTTCATGATTAACTAATAATAATAAACATATCAATACTAACATTATATTATTCTATGGTTATAGGTACTTTCAGAAAAAGTATCATAATAATCCCTATGCCTAATGAGAAAGTAAACCACTATTATTTTGGATTCAATCAAAACTGAARTAATTAATGACAGTTYCAAATAAATATTTACCTACATTTGTTATTTGTATATAATAAGGTCTTACGCTCAATACAACTGTTCAAGTAAAAAGAAATATCTAAAAATTCAAATTTTCAAAAAATTATTGCTACTTCAGCCTGCTTTAGGGAAAATAATAATATGAAAGTGTGATATTTTACAAGACTTGCGAACTTCTAAAAAAAACTTACCGATATTTCATTTTATTATTTATTATATATTAATACTTGATACGAAATACTCATATACACT